GTCTAGATGCATTTGACTTTGTTTTTTTCATTAGTTTGCATTTTTTCTTTTATCATTTTCAATTGCACATCTGCACACACACACACACACATATATGCATACCCATATATCTGTATGTAATTAGTTATCTTTATATGTGTGTGTTTGTATATTTATACATATTTGTTTAATATGCGAGTCAACCATTTTCTCCTTGGGCACACAGACGTTGCATTGTCCTGGTTGAAAGAATAAATATACTTTTGACTGCTAAAGAGAGGGAAGCTATGTATTTTAAACCCCATCATCATCTTAAGATAGACAATTCTGCATTTCTGCTTCCTTTGTTGCATTATATACAGATAAATAAAAAAGATTTTGTATTCATCTTTGGATCCTCTGTTTCTCTTTTGATTCATTCACTTAGAATATTTTAAATATATATATATATATATATATATATATATATATATATATAATCATCTTTGTTATTGTTACTATTTGCTTCTTGTGAAATAACCTGAAGGCTTTTGACAATGTGTTTACAAGATTAAAGATTTCTAAACCCAGCAGTCACTCAACCATGACAATGAACGGCTGTTTATGAATATATAATGAATATGTCTATGCATATAAGGAGGCATGGTGGAGTAATGGATAGTGGCTCGGATTGCGGAATTAGAGAGCCGAGTTCGAATTCCAGTCGAATCCATTACATTCATTTAATTGCTAATACCCTTTGGAAAGCTATGATTCCTCTTCTTCTCCCCCCAGCTATGGGTAAGTAGACAGGACAGACTGGATTCTATAGCCTTCGATGGCAACTGGTCTACCGCAGAAAGAAATTTCAACCTACTGTGGGAAAAAATCTGCCGTGTTTGTCATGTATCGAAATATATATGATCGCCTAAGTGTGTATCACGCATGGCACATAACTCATTGACTGATGCATATAAACTGCACAAACACACATGTGCACATTCATATACTGATAGCTATTTATGCTTGATAATATTTCATCTTCTTCTGTGTGCCATGTCCCTTCAGGAAGTTGGCGATCTTGGCTCTCCACAATTTCCTGTTCTTTGTAGCTCTTAGTACATTTTTTTTTTGTCATTTCTCCTAAACCCTATACTGCTAAACATTTACACATGTTCATTGGGTAGGTTATGTGCTGCTTTCCTCTTTCCCTCAAAATATCCTATGAGTGTTAAATTTTCCAAGTCTTCCTTCCTCATTATATGCTCTAGAAATTTCAACTACCTCTTCCTGATGTTAAGTATATGTGTCCATTTTGTTTCCATTTTCTATAAAACTTCAACCTTGCTCACATGTTCAGTCCAAGTTATTCTCAGCATCCATCTGTTGAACCACACTTCTGTTGCCTCACATCTCTTCTTTATATGTGAAGATTTGACATACAAAATGCTATGAAATTTTGTTCCAACCCAATAGATAAGAAAACAAATGCAGGACGCAATACTGAATTGATGATTTTATACAGAAGAATATTATGAAGAATTCACAACTGAAATGCATTTTAAATCATCCACTTTAAAAATGCTTTTTAAAAGACAGAGCAAGAGACTTAACATAGAAATGCACAAAAAAAATGTTTCAAATTCCATTGCTCATAAATTTGAGCAAAAATGCATTTCTGATAAATTAATAATGAAAGGAGATGACACTAAACAGCACCACAAAAGAATGGTTATATTAGCCATTTCCTTGTAAGGAAACATTCGGCAATTTTTTTAGTTTTTAGGTTAATGTTTTGTAGCAGTTTGGTAAATATCTATAAGAGGTAAGTACTACAATATGCACTACTCTTAAATTGTAAATAAAGCCTCTCTCTAAAATAGTCATAAAATTTTATTAATTTACATACAATGTCATCATTATCAGTAAATTTAGATTTATTTTTTTTACGTGCTTACACGTGTGTGTGCATGTATGTATGTATATATATATATATATATATATACACACACACACACAGTAATGTTTCACTGTATCACAGCTCATCAGTGTTTAGACATCCTTATGCCTCAATCCAGGATTGAAACCCAACTGATTTGGTGTCATTTATTCATTTAGAATTTATACCACTGAGCTATCTTCACTTGGCAGAGAGAAACAGCTAATTCTAGTGTATTGTTTTTTATATATATATATATATATATATATATATATTTATTCATTTCATTAAATAGTATAAACATATTATGTCTATTTTTATCATAAACCTTTCAATAACTTTCTCTTTGTGATACACTAAGGATGATCTCAGAGGAGGTCAAAAGTACTTAGTTAAGAAAAAAAAATCACCTTCATTGATGTATTTCAACTTAACATGAAAAAGCTGATTAGATAATTGTAAAGGAATATTATAATAGAAAATTAACATAATATGTCTATTACTTCATGATACATGTTTGAAGGAATATATACTGCCTAAATATATATATATATATATATATATATGATTAATACAAATATAAAATTTTTATAGAAAAAACCA